CCCTCTCCTCTGCTGCCAATCCCAGGGGGCTGGATTGGGCCCAGCCAGACCAGGCCAACTCCACACAGAGAGATCGAGCCCTGTTCCCTTGAGCCTAGGTCCAGCCAGAGCCTGATGCAGCTGTGCAAATGGCCCAGCAGGGGCCCAGTGCACCTGCATGTGATTGGGCCCCAGACAGGCTGTACCCATGTGGCTGGATTGGGCCCTGGATGGGCCAGCTTCATGCCCCAAACTGGGCCCACAAATGGGATCCAGCCCACAGACACACCTGGGACGGTTCATCTAGCACCATGGGCTGAAAAGGTTAGGTACCACTGGATAAAAACACCTTTCTTAAGATACCTAACTGGAGCTTACATACAGTATAAAAACAATCGCTAAGATGCAGGGCATTTTCTAAAAAATAATAACCAGTGGGAAGGAGCTAAAGAGCTGAGATGATGCAGATGGTGTTTGAGTCTACCTTGTCCCTGATCTCCCTGAAAGGCTGTGCACAAGGCCTTTATTCCCAGTCTCCATGGGAAGGACATTATTCCTACAACCACATATAATGCAAACATTTAAAATACCTTTAGGAATACTGTTGGTCTCTTTAGGGTTCTCACTGGAGAAGAAATGAAGCAACGTACTAGAAAAAATAGCTGAGCCACATCTGTAACTCTAACATAAAGTAGGCTAGATCATCCCATTACTTTGAAATATAATGTTGAGGGGTGGTAGGAAGAGGGCTGAGAGTTGTGAACGCCCTTTTCTGCCATGAACACGAGTTCATCTATCTGTTTGAGGAGGGTGTGTTTTTATGCATTATTCATAGGCTTGGCAGGATTCGGTTCTGCTTGATAAACACTGATAAATAATTTCACTTCACACTCACAGACCAACCAAAAATATTTCCACTGTTAATAACTGAAATTTATGGAAAGGGGACATCAGAAAAATGATGGCTGATAGAGTGTGTGACAACAGGGGGGGCAGTCCTACAGAACTGTGCTGACTGCAGGTTGGGCTGCAACTCCCAGAAACCCCAGGGGACTGGGAACAAAGAAAGAGGAAGTGATAAAGCAGATGAGGGAGCTACGGACAAGCAGAACCAGGACAGCTCCGGTAGCAGCTCTGCTGCTCAGCTGGCGGCAGTCCTACAGTAGTTACATTTGTCACAGTGCGGGGTTAAACTGCCCTATAATAATATTATACTGTCATTAACAAATTGTCTGCCCCATGCCCCTAATTTCATGCAATCCTGAAAAATTTAAATTGATAACAATCAAAAGAAATGCTTAAAAATAAACACTGATATTATCCATCAAAGTTATTTACAAGATAAAAACTGAATTCTGCCAAACCTAATTATTTGTTGTAAGTTTGGGAAAGTGGCAGACAGCTTTCCCCACATCAGTTCTGTTATGAGATTATTGGATGGTTCCTGGCCTTATTTTGGGAAAATGATGCAATTTTTGAATTGTTTTTGTTAGAGATTTTAAAATTAATCTAAAACCATGTTCATCACATGCAAGGGAAATTAATGCCCTGTCCAGTTCAACAGAGGAGGAAAAAATCAGGCCCCCTCAAAGAGATTTACAATAATTTCTGAGTAGTGCTCCTAGTAAATACTGCATACTGTGGATATAATATAATACTGTTCGCCCTAATATACTGGAGAACAGGGTAGGGGCATGTTGATCTTTACAAAGTTCACATCAGAGCAGTGATCATTCATTGCCTGGCAGTTTGGTTCAAACCAGAACCTCTAATCTTAACAAGATGAAGAAGAGTGTGTCAAATCTAGACTAAGACTTTACAGTTTAGGCAGCTGATATTTTCTCCTGTAATACCTTTTACTACAGGACCTCAAAGCACCTCCCTCACACATATCATATGTATTAAACCCCAGTTTGCAAATGGAGAAACTAAGGAACAGAAATCTGTGATTTGTCATTGGGTTTAATGCACTGAATTTAAGATAGAGCACAGGAGCAGTTTCAACACTAGTCCCCTGCCCCTGCCATCAGACTGCACTCTGCAACAATTAAGATTGTTTGGTATTGCAGCACCCAGGCCCTTCTGCAAAGAGCACTGTTGTTTCAGGATATCATTACTGGATTCTGCTGAGATACTTAGGCACTAGGCAGCACACTGAGTCTGTAATATGAGAGGTACCCTGGTATTGCTGTGCTCTGCACCTACCATGCAGAAGAGAGGCTTTTTTGGAAGATGAAAGGAGCTGTTCCCTGGCTGGGGACACTCACCTCCAACATTGTTTTTGTAGGTGTTGTACATCTCTTTCACCCTTCGGTAGCGAAATGCTAATTTCCTCATCCAGTCGACTCCCCCATGAACACCAGAGCCCAGACATAAATTTGCACCAGCAGTTGAACTGTGAAAGCCATCTGCTGAGAAGTTATATGTGCTGGGGGATAAAGGGGAGAGTAAGAGAAGGGGCAGAGCATTAGTACAATTATAACTTACCCAACAACATGTAGAAACAAGTTAAGAATGGTGAGGAGTAGGGGAGCGGAGGGAAGATGCACACCAGACCCTGCTGTAGTGATAGGGGCAGCTGTTAATGTACAGAAAGGGATCCCATCTCTCCTTGCCCTCCTTGCATTTGCTCCTTGTACTTTTACTTGACTTATTTTCCCACACAGATAAGACTTAAGCAGGTCATAAGTATAAGGAGCAGATCAGATCTCTTGGACTAGGGCTTGTGTCAGAGGATAAGAAGAGATGCCTTGAGCAGATGGTTTTCCCTCATTCATTCAAAATGGGCAGGGATTATTTGCATTGATTAACTTCAGGTAAAAGCCAGGTTGTCATTTTTGGATGCATGTCTGCACATGTACTTAGATTTACCATGCAGTAGAGCCTGTTTACACACTAATCTGAGCTAGTGAAACAGAATGAAAATCTTACAATGTTTCAGTGCATTGCGAAACTCAAATTAGGATCCCAACATCAGTGAGTGAATCCTCTGAGTGAACTTTTCTTTGGAAAGAAAACTATCTTCATTGTGAAGCTTCCTTTGTACCCTGTAATTTAAATAAATTGATGCAAAGCATAGCTCCGAGTCACCATTTGCCCACACAATTACCACACCTATACGTACACATTTTGCAAATGTGTCAATTTATCAAATTATTTGATTAGATTTTTTATCAAATTATTCAGTGTACATAATTATCTGATAAGCATGCACAATCTTGGTGCGGATGTATGAAAACTTGGCATAATTTTTGTAGAGCCAAGTTGATTTTTTAATGGTCTATCTGAAATTCACATCATTAGATCTTTGGACTCTAAAACCATGGATTTATATAAGAGGACACTGTACTGAGATACTGAGTGCTCATTGTGCTATTTTTTGCTCTGTGGTAGGTGACAGTTGAGCTTAAATTTCAGGTTCATTCATCTAAAGAATTTGTCTGACACCTTCATGAGTTTTGGGTAGTAATGATCAAAGGTTGCACTTCTGAAGATAATATTTCAGCACAGCATGAAACAATCCAAACTGCAGCCTATATTGCACATTTCTTAGCTGTAAAGTTCATGTTGAGCATAGTCAATGCTGTGACTATTTAGTCTTTCAGCATCAACATACCCAACATAAAAAAGATATTGCATGAAAAATAAGTGGCCAGGGGTGGTTGCTAGCTGTTGTAATCTAAGGAAATAAATTCTCAAATTATACAGCAAGTGGATTAAGGTGACATTAGTTAATAGCATATTTATCAGACAATAACCTTGAGATATTGCAATAAATAATAAGACTGTAACCAGGAGTCAATTTCTTATGTTTTACCTTATGTTTTACTTATTGTTGCCTTTTGATAGCCATATGATTTATTGATAACACCATTATGCATAATATTTGTAATACCACTGAGATGGTGATAGATACAGGGCCTATGAATGGGAGAGTAGGCACTCCTGTTAGTGCAAAGTACCTGGGATTTCTAGGCTTGAGTGCAATACAATTCAGACGCAATATTGCGCGTCTGAGGCTCAAGGATGGTGGTGAAATATTTGGCCTGATCTGGCTTGCCTACTCATTTATTAAGTTGGTGTAGCTGGAGCGAGTTCAGATGAATTTCAAATGTGTTTTCCAGTATGCTTCAAAGCCTGCTATATTCAGGGTCTGAGAATAAGGCCTGAGCATGTGAACATGAAAAATGGGAATTTGTGCGCTCATGTATTGATAAATGTAGCAAACATGGGAAAGAGGAAATGAGCAAAATTAAATTATTGTTTACACCATTGCTCATCTGCCAGCCATTTTTAAGCCTTGAGACTGCTTTAGGATCCAGTCCAGTTCAGAAATTCTGTACCTTAAGTCTTGACCATTGTCATCTGATGATACATCATCTATGTGTATCTGGTCACAGTCCTGTAAAACACAGAGGAGTCAATCATCAGGAAACAGAATATTATTGAAATTAATGAAAAATGGTTAGGGACAGATGCTTAGAAGAAACTGTGTCTTCCGTGTCCTGCCAGTACTTCCAAGTACACCCTAGTCAAGTAAGTAGTTTACAAGCAAACTTCAAATGCTGCTTGGCTAGAACGTGAACAGAATTATTGAAAGGATTATCCGAGGTCACAACACCTCTTGAATAACACAGTAAGATGAAATTGCTTCCTATTCATACAGGAATTTGTAGGGTCTCACAAGGGAAAGTGCTTGTCTGTTAACCAGGAAAACCGAGGGGAGTTTTCAGAGTAGATCTTCGCTGTACAGTGTTAGATTTACCAGCCTTCCTCATTTATGAACTTAATTATGATCAGTCAGAATATTAGGCTTCATTTATGAGAAAGAGAAAAAGTCTTTTTCTCTGGGTCTTTCCACAGACATTTCCTGTCTGAATCTTTCTCTTACAGCATTTTCCCAGCACTTGCTGGAGACTTATCTTTTCCTTGACATGTCTGTGGGAGCTGTGCCCATGCACCAAGGGGAGAAGGCACCCTATCACATCCCTTGTCTGCAGACAGAATTAAGAAATCGTGCACATAAGTAATAAGGAAATCTATACACCGGAAATCTAAACTGAATACATTATGGACTTGGAGCTAGCCTGCCTGAAATATGTACCCTAGATCTTATCATCCAAATTCTTCATTGTTTGAGTGGTGAAGGCTTTACCTCAAAAACTTGAGAAATGTTATTTCTATGGTTTCTCTCTCTGACTTGACATTATGATTAAAAAGGAGAAAAAAATTAGGAAGCTTTTTTGCTTCTTTCCACGACTCTTACAAGAAAGAAACAGTGAATGCTGCAGAGTCCTGGAAGCTTGCAAACACTTTTTGGTTGATGTTCTACCAAATTATAGAAGTTGTGGGGAGAGGGGGACTCCAAGCTGAAACAATTGCCCCTCCACCATTCTCTGTTATCTACATTATGTAGCCTTTATTGTTATCTCTATATAGTTACAGATTTTTAGGAGCTACTTAGATTCTCTCAAAAAATTTTCAGAGCTAGATTTCTGAAGGAAGATGTTATAGAGAGAGGTATGCCTTCTGTTCACAAATTCCAGATTTCTTTAAGTTGGGTAATTTCAAAAAGTCTCTCTGATATAGTTGTTCTAAAATTTCAGGGCAATAAAAGCAATTTCTAGGTTCCTCGGTCTTATTTTCCAAAGTGCCCACGTAACGTGGGTGCTTTTCAAAATTTTAGAACAGGAAGTACATTTTTCTGAAGTGCGAGTAAAGTTAGGGGTTGTACATGTTCTCACTGTGCTATTTTGTGCACACACTTTTCTTTGAAAAATATAGCTCACATTTCAAGAACTATTATGTCCAAGATACATTCATATCAACTTCCCCTGTGCTGGAATTCCTAAGAAGATAGTCATTTACAAGGTTGGGGTTTCAAAAACGTTCAATTTAATCTGGTTCCCATCTCCTCAGTTCCTTCCTTGCTTTATCATTGAAGACGGTATTCTAAGTGAGCGCCAACTCTACAAACAAGAGCTGAGAAACTAAATTAATAGCAGAGGGTCTGCTGGCACACACCCACCCTCTCTCAAATGAAAAAACACTCCCCACTGCAGTTGTGAGCTGTGAAAGGCACGCTGGAATAATATTGTCGCAGCCCACTCAGCTTCAGTTGCATTGTGCTTTGCATTATGTAAGGGAAAAGGTATTTGTGGGGGATCTGCTTTTCTCATTTGTGAATGAATTGTTCTGTACACTAAAGTGTGACAACAGTAGCTATCACATTTCTGACTTAATAAAATACCATGACACTTGGTGAGACGCTACCTCATAGTCCACCGGCTGAGCCTATCGTGTTACTGGGTGAAACACAGAAAAGCTGGACAAAGCAAGAATGTAGACCATGTTTTACTACTTGGTTACCAGACTAATTTTTCATTCTCATAGAATCTGCTTGAGCCCTAGTGAGTGGGGAAGGAGGAGAAGAACATCTGGGCAGCTGAAGAGAAGGTCCAGATTGTTTGAATGGAAGTCAGCAATGAGGACATTTCCAAACCCCAGTTTCCACATCTGTTGCTCTTTGGTTGGTTTTTATTTAATGATATTCTAGGATTTCATAGAACAGCATGATTAGTTTGGTGCTACAAGCTATAACTGATTCAGAAAATATAAGACCCCAATCACCACTCCCGCCCTTCTGGAACTGAACCTTTCCTAATGTTCTGAAACACATGGGACGTTCTCTTATTCCCTGTGCGTCCAGAGGGAACCTGATGCAGACAGGCTCCAGCAGCAGGATCCTGTGTTCATGAAACTTCCATGTTTTACAGGAGGCAGAGGGACAGAGAAAAATCCCACTCTGTGCACCTGCCGGCAGACAGTTATTAGCTTTTTTGAGTAGCTCCAGTCAAGGGTAAACTAATCTAAAAAAATCTCTTACAGCCCTGAATATAATAAGGAGACAGAGGGCGATTGGGAGGGCTATAAGCTAAGGTGTTCTTCTTTCACCCACCAGTCCTGATTAGTGGTGATAACCTGATGGACTTCATTTATCTAGGAGCTGGCAATCTTGCAGGTAATTTGGCTCAATTAAGTAGTTTGCAGTCAGGATGGTTTGAAGCACGTTGCCCAAATACTGCTGCTGGCGCTCTTTCCTGCATGTGCTGAAATTGTCCATTTCCTAGCAGGGCAGGTAAAAGCACTTGGTGGGATGAATTAAGTCTACTGAATCTGCAAAACAGACTTTCCCTGCTGACAAAGGTACATAAAAATGCCTGATTAAGAATAGGACCTGGCTTAGCAGCTTGTGCATGGGAAAAGTGAGAGGGAGACTTAGCCAGTATACCAGCATAGTGGTTGGCAATGTTTTCCAATGGCAAGCTGGAATGGCCCAGCCTGGCTCTGAGGTGGGCCAGAACTGGAATGCAGCCACTGCTGCCACCACCTACTGTCTGGCAGCAGCATGGCACAGGAAAGCTCCTTGCAATGAGGTACAGTATGCACAAAGCCCCCATCTCCAAATACTGCTGAAGCCCCAGCTCTGAAGGCCAAATCTGGCCCAAGGACTGTAGGTTGCCAATCCCTGTCCTAGCATGTTCTGCTTGTCGTGGAACAGACAGAGAAGGCCAGACTGGTCCTGCCTTGGCTGCCCATGGAGAAATGTATAGTGTGTCCAGTTTGGGTAGCTACCTGGCGTCAGGCTGCGGAGATATCTGGTAGGAGACAGAGCCTTTTGGTGATGTGTCTGTCTCTTGCTGGGGCAATACTTCTGTTCCACTATCACATACTTTACATGGCTCAATAAAGTCCAGCTCCACAGGCAGGATGTTAAGAATTCTGCCTAGCAGTGGAATGGCAGCACCTTAATGGCTCCACGTGATTTTAACTCTTGAGCCTTTTGAAGCGAACGAAGAAATACTATTTTTGCAGTATTACATCCCAGAATTCTGTCAGACGCTCTTGGCTTTGTTAATTTTTAATGGGAGAGCATGAAAAAATAAAGAGACTGCTTAATGCTTGTAAGACAAGTTGGCAGCACTTTGCCCACACTACAGTTTCCTCCAGCTTTATCAAAACGTTTAACTTACAACAGTGCACAGCAGTGTGGCATTTTTATAGTTTACCAGGCAAGTAGTCATGCTCTTCCATGAACAAGCTTCCTTTGATACAAGCAGAAGGTATCCTCACCCAGATGCCCTAATCCAACTGTGAAGCAAGCCTTTAAATATGGTGTGGACTTGCATTCTAATTGGATTTCAGATGACATGTACAAAGTCCTTATGGGGCCGTGGAAGTCTTGCTGCCTCTGTGTGTAACACTTCACAACCATTTTGTTTTCTCATCACCAGGCGTTCCTTGGGACTTCTTCTAATAGGTAACAAGTTTCCACCCATTTGTAGCACTTGCACCTCCTACAGTCCTGAAACCTACTGCTTACATCAGTGCTGCCTGGGCCACACTAGCATGAGCCACAATCCCCCTAGGCTGCACACCATGCAGGTGCCCCACCACCAACTGCACTGTGCCACTGGCTTCCCCAGCACCCAGGGCTGCACCATGCCACACTGCCCCTTGGGTTGGGGCAGGAAGCAAAAGCTGAAGGAAGGAGGGGGAGCTATAGCAATGGGAGCGGGGTGGAGGGTGGAAATTAATGGCTGGGTAGAAACCTGGAGGTCCCAGATTAGCAGCTGGAGACTACCAGTTGGACAGCTCTGGTTTACATAATAAATCATTCTCCACTAGCTAAATGGGGGCAGTTACTACTTTCTATGTCTACCTTATATACTCAGATTGTAAACTCTTCAGGGCAGGGACAGTGTTTGTACAGTGCCTAGCACAGATTGGCTTTGATTCAGCTCAGAGCTTTTAACTGCAACTGTGATAAAAAATAATAATTATTAATAATAATAATAATAATAATAATCAACAGTAAAGGGAAAATTCACTTCTTCCTGTACCTTTAGCCACCCAAAACTACTGGCAGGTTGCTGCTAAAATTTGTCTTTAACAAGGCAGTATAGAAACATATGTAATGCTTCTTCTTTGGTAACCACTGACTTGGGGACTTTTTAGGACAGACCAAATATATCCAATGCACATTCCCATTGAAAGATTCATTTTATGCTGTTAAAGGAATTTGTGGCCAAAGAGAGACAATAAAGTTGATGTTTGCCTCTCTCTGTACTCTACTAGTTGCTGTTAGTTCCTCAGCACTGGTGAAAATGGGCTGAAAATGGGAACACAGTGGGCATGTCTATACATGCACTAAGGCACTTTTTCTAACATGCATTAAATTTAGTACCTAGTAAACAAATGCGTATTAGGCTGCCTTAATGCACAGTATTACTTGTGCACAGTTTTAGGTGGTGTTTAATGTGTAGTAGCCTATTTTACTGTGCATTAGCATAATACCACTTTTTTGTGTGATGCTTTAATGCGCAGTAAGATAGGCTACCATGCATTAAAGTACATGTGTAGATGCACCCAGTGTGTGCAAATGGCGTGGGCTTTGCACAGTTATAATTCCAGTGGTGCATAAAGTACATCATAAAGCTGCTGTTAATACTGGACTATAGGTATGCAGGATGCTTTAGATCACACTTAGAAAAACAAGATATGACTGTAATTCACGCAGACTAATTGTATTCTCTAATTATAGACATTTCTTAAATTGAATGCTCTATTGGGAGGGTGCCATAACTGAGATACGAAGTGACATCTTGGAGCAAAATTTCCTTTCTAATATCTTTTAAGTGAGTGGCAAGCATTCAACTGTACATGCATGTATGTATACATAATACATGTACATTGAGCATTAGCTAAATTATAACAGTAAAAAACAATCATTTGAATAATCAGGGCTTGTGGACAGAGGTGATATCTTTTTATTAGCCCAACAAGATTTTTGCAAAAAAATGTATTTAATTGCAAGTTTTCAGGCACAAACACCCTTCACCAGGCATCGGAGAAAAGATTATAAAAGTTCTTCTGGGTAGAAATGAAAGTTTATATTTCATAGGATTTCACAGAGGGGTCAATTAAGACTTCTTACCAGTTAAGAACTGCTGCCCAGAGGGTTTTTCCATCTTTTATGCTTCCCAGCTTTGTTTAAGGGAATCTCATAAAATGGGTGGATGCAGCACACTAGTCTGGATGATGTGTGTATGATTTGGTAATATCTGTGGTTTCAGTGCAACAACCATATAGAAATTCTGCAGTTAAATGCAAGCCCTCAAAAGCTTTGGTGTGCCACTGCCATAGAAGTAAGCAGGAACCTTCTGTCAATGTTGCAGTATCAAAAAACTTGCCCACCTTGTTCATTTGCTCTTAGGGTGGCTCAGAACAAAGGCCAGATTCACGTTGTCTGTTAATTTTTAATTCCTCTGGAGTTTCATGCTATATTTAAAATACTTGGCCTGAAGAGAGGTTCTCTTACTCTGGAATTTAAATGGTATCAGACACCTTATTAATCTTCTCCATGCACCTTACTTATTCTTCAGTACAAACTTTTACTTTGTCTTCTGTCTTTGTCTCAGTATTATTGCACTATGTCAATTTAGCTTCTTCAACCATGCTCAGGTCACCATTATACCACTTGATGGTGCTACTGTATATTGCAATCTTAGTGAATGTAAAACTGAGTCAGCTTTTATGCTTGTTTTTCAGCCCATCTTATTTTTTTATAGAATATTGTTCACTAGATCTTTCAAGCCTAACAGTTGGTGACATATGATCCTCAAATATTACCCTGCCCATACTCCAGGCTGAAAGTCCTTCATTTATCATCCAAAATGCAGGAGCGCCATGGCCTGAAATCTTTTCAGTAGACAAAAATGGACAGTTTTAGAGAGGACAAACTTTTTGTCAAAGTATTTCTTTTTCTCTTTTGTTCTGTTTTTCAGTGAAAAATGCCTTAAGTGTTTAAGAAAAAAATACTTGGTTATTTGGAAACTTTCTGTGAAAGAATTATGCAGAGAAAAATACTTACCACTGTACTAGTGATACTTTGTGAAGGAAAGCTTTAGAGCAATGCAGAATCAAAGTTGTCTCTCACCTTGTATCCTCTCTGGGCAGTTAAGACTGGTGTGAGGAGATGCTCATTTTCAGAACAATTTGCATCCAGCAGTGACACCTCCCCAACTGAAGGTCACTGTTTTGCTACTCAGTCCTTTTGGTGCATCCAAAGCCAGGAGAGGCAGGACACATTTATTCAGCTGTTTTTGTCCTTCTTTTGCATTTTACATTTTTTGACCAAAGCCTGCTGGCCATAAGTGCTGTGGAAATCCAGTAAAAATGTTTTTCTCCAATACACCCATATCCTATACTGGTGCACTTTTGCCAGGGATCTGCTTAACTCGCTCTCATTCTTCCTCCTCCCCATCCTACCCCTCCAGGCCAAGAGTCAAGCTGAAGCTTTTTGATAACACAGGTCTGCTCTCCCAAGGTACTCAAACTGTTTGGAGAAGGAAGCAGCCTTAGTCTTTTTGTGCATTTCCAAACCACACTGGAAGCTTTCTGAGGTTTATGCATCGTCGTGTATAAATTATAAGAACATAAGGTAATTTTATTCTTTGTGAATTTAACTTGGAGCCAACAGTGACTATGGTAGACACACATATGACACTAGACAGTATTCCAGGAAATGTTTTACTTAGCAGTTATATGTAGCTTGTCCACATCCAAAGGTACTATGCCTTGCCAACATTAACTAACTTCCTTACCTCCCCTGAATGAGGTCATGTTGACCTTCAGTCATCCCCAGTTCACAAATGGGGAAACTGAGGCAGAGAGGGAAAGTGACTGGAAGACCGACTAAAACAGGTCTTAAGAACCTAAAAACCCTTACTCAGCTGCTGTCTAATCTTGGAGGCTCCTAAATTTTATAGGCATCCTGCCTATTTTACTTTAAAGTTTCCAGGCCCCTTGGTGTATGCCCAGAACTACCCAAGTCCCGACAGAACTGAGCAGCTTGGCAACCACCATAAGTCCAAATGAGTGTTCTCCAAGCACACCCAGGACAGACAAGATTGGACTCCCTACAAATGCCCGTGACTTTCTTTTATAACACTGTTGCAGAGGTGGAATCTAGAGGTGAATGCTGTCACAAGAGTCCATTCCCTCTGTATCCTGAGGGGATTCATATCCACATCTCCCACCTCCTAATATAGTGCTCAGCCCACCAATGTATCGGCCCTTCTGGTTAGGAAACACTCTCAACCCTCCTGCTGCAGCTATGCCACAATGAAGGAGAGACTTCAAGACTTACTGATGCAGAGACAGTGCATGTATAAAAAGATGCATAACTGTAGCCTAGTGATTAGGACACACACATGGGGAGAGAGTGCTCTGATTTCTAGTCCTTGCTCAGTGTTTTATCCATTAATTGATTGTTTAATTTACGATACATAAACACTGTGGGACCAGGGACTAAAATCCAGGACTCCCTTCTCTCAGCTGAGTGCCTTAATTGTAAGGCAACAAAAAACGGCTCAGTCTTTCATATTCTCTTTCTTTGATCCAATGACCCCTGTTCACTTCTGCACACTAACTCCAGGCTACTCTCTGGATTCCATACCAAGATGTTACACAGCAAAATGAATGCGTGACTGCATCATGTGCTGGCTCAGTCTAACTAGCCTAGGTAACGATGGCAGCAAAGACATATTGGTGTGGTCTTTAGTACATGCTAACACCCAAGGTACTTCTGGGGAGCCTAAGAACTTAACAAGGAGCTCTGGATTCCACTCAGAGACAAGACGCCTAAAACAGGGGTTGGCAGAGTGCCAAAAACACCTACAGTCTCAAATTGTAAGATGTTGGCATACCAGGGTGGACAGCAGGGGAACTGCAAGGGGCCTGATCCTTGTTGTGGTAGTGCAGCTCCGGCCCCTTCCCTGCTGTGTGACCCCAGGCACACATGCTAAGCAAAATGCCTTCATGTGCCACACACTGGCATTTGTGGTGGGGGTTGCCTACCTACCTATCTCTGGACTAAAAGTCAGGTGCTCATAGTGCCTTACGGTGTGTGTAGACAAAACGAGGGCCCTAAATTGAAGCGGTGGGTTTTTAAAAACACCACTTCAATTTAGGGCCCTTTAAACCCCAGTGTCATGTACATCCGTGCAACTCACCTGCCTCTCCAGCAGCAGGGAGGGGAGGGTGAGCTGCTGGTCGGGGCGGGAGGGTTAGTGCTTCCCTCCGTGGCAGCAGCGGCCCCCCCCAGGCAGCACCCACCCACAGGCACCCAGCTTGGGTGGTCCCATGGGGGCACCGCAGCCATGGAGGGAAGCACTGGGCCCCCACGCAGCTCGGGCAGGCTCCAGGTGGGGGGGAAAAAAAAAAGATCAGACTCACCGCTTTTATTTTTTTTTTCCTCGGGTGGAACCTGCCTTCCCAGGCTGCTGCCAGGCTGCCTACACGGGCTTCCTGCAGAGCCCCTGAGTTGCACGGAGCCCAGTGCTTCACTCCATGGCTGTCGGGTAGCAAAATAAAACTCCTTGGAGGAGTCATTTAAGGTGTGTTATGCCCCAAGTCATTTAAGGCACATTATGCTGCCGAATTTGCTACAGCAGCTGGAATTACTGCACAGTACGCTGCCGACACGTGCAAACACCAACACCATTAAAGCACTGCATGAGCATTTAACCTGCTTTAAAGTGTTGTACACACATGCCCCTTGTTTCTTCTACACATGGCCTTAGTTTTAGATGCCTAACTCCTGTGTTAGATCTAGCCCTTGCCCTCCAGGTCACACAATGAGTCAGGTCTTGAGTGAATGAGAGAAATTCTGGGTCCTGACCTCAAGTGGCTTCTGTTGCCTTAATGATGGCTTAAGCCTGTACATCTCAAAGGCTGACTTGCTGTAAATAAACAATTTACCCTAAACTAAGAACCCTATTTTCCTTGCAGCTGCAGAAGCCCTCACTGACACTAGTAAG